GTGAGTTTTGTTTCTGTGAGTGCTATTATGTCTGGGGATGTCTCTTTGATTCTTTCGTGCCACTCCTCATACTTGTTTGTTATTCCATCTGCATTTGTATACCACACCTTCAACTTCTTTTCTAAGACTGTGGTCTGGGAAGTATATTGTGGCTGGGGAAGTGGGAGACCTGGTAAGGAACTATGGGTTGTTGCTGTGAGGGTGGAGTTTGTAATGTAGTGGGTGGGGGCATTGGATGTGGCATGGGTGTTTTGATTTAGAGTGTTTGGTTGCACTGGGGTTGACCTGGTTGGGAGGCTTCTATAGGAAGTTATGAGGGAGGCTGTATTTGATCTTCTTCCTGAGTCTGGGATCTCCTGTCTGTCTTCTCCATCCCCTCTCTTTCCTCCTTTCACCTCTGTACCATCTCTCTCTGTTTCTGCATTTCTTCTTGTGTTCTGTCGCAGTCGAGATACACCTTCCTGTATGCCAGCATGTCCCTTAATTGTGCTTTCTCCTGCAGGATCCTGGTCCGAGTGGCTTCTGCCTTGAAGGTCACTTTCACTGGCCGGGTTCTTTTTATTAAAAACCCCCCTATTCTCCGAAAATTTTCCAGCTGGGTCATGTCGTCTTCTCCTATTGCTTTCATGATGCTTTCAATTGCTTTTTTTCCCCCTTGTTTTCTTGCTTCATATGTTTCCCCTTCAACTTCCTGGAGCCCATACACAAAGACTGACCTCACCCTTTCATTCTCCCACTGCGTATCCCTGTGTATCCCCTCATTTAATTTGGTTTCCTGCACTGCAGCTTTCCTTTCTTCAGTTTCACTGGCTAATGTACATGGGCTCAGTGGCCTGTCATTTTCCCTTCTCGGCTTTCCTTGGGCTCTGTTGTTGTTTGTTAGGGCCTCCACATAAAGCTTAGCTCTTTCATTTACTACAGTCTCCTCTGATAGAGCTTCTCCATGCAGTTGTGCCCCTTCTTTCCCTACTGTCCCCTTATTGTGGCTGAGGTAGCAGTCTCTGTTGTCAATCCCAAAATGTTCTTTAGTTCTTTAGGCTGTTTCAGATTTTTCAGTTCCTCTTCTAAACTCTGTATCCTAGCCTCTGCTGCTTTGACATGCACCTCCCACTTCCTGCTTTCCATATCTATTCTCTCTTCCATTCCATGTGTGTGTGTGTGTGTGTATGTTTGTGTGTGTGTGTGTGTGTGTGTGTGTGTGTGTGTGGTGTGTGTGTGTGTATGTTTGTGTGTGTGTGTGTGTGTGTGTGTATGTGTGTGTGTGTGTGTGTGTTGTGTGTGTGTGTGTGTGTGTGTGTGTGTGTGTGTGTGTGTGTGTGTGTGGTGTGTGTGTGTGTATGTTTGTGTGTGTACTCACCTAGTTGTACTCACCTAGTTGAGGTTGCGGGGGTCGAGTCCGAGCTCCTGGCCCCGCCTCTTCACTGATCGCTACTAGGTCACTCTCCCTGAGCCGTGAGCTTTATCATACCTCTGCTTAAAGCTATGTATGGATCCTGCCTCCACTACATCGCTTCCCAAACTATTCCACTTACTGACTACTCTGTGGCTGAAGAAATACTTCCTAACATCCCTGTGTGTGTGTGTGTGTGTGTGTGTGTGTATGTTTGTGTGTGTGTGTGTGTGTATGTGTGTGTGTGTGTGTGTGTGTGTGTGTGTGTGTGTGTGTGTATGTTTGTGTGTGTGTGTGTGTGTATGTGTGTGTGTGTGTGTGTATGTGTGTGTGTGTGTGTGTGTGTGTGTGTGTGTGTGTGTGTGTGTATGTTTGTGTGTGTGTGTGTGTATGTGTGTGTGTGTGTGTGTATGTGTGTGTGTGTGTGTGTGTGTGTGTGTGTGTGTGTGTGTGTGTGTGTGGGGTGTGTATGTTTGTGTGTGTGTGTGTGTGTGTGTGTGTGTGTGTGTGTGTGTGTGTGTGTATGTTTGTGTGTGTGTGTGTGTGTATGCGCGCGCATGGGG